ATATATATATATATTACAAACATAATTTATCTTTGAATATGTTCATCAGCTTAAATTGCTTTGTTAAAACCTTGCTTTCAGCAAGGGAAGCATCTTCTCTCAAACAAAAGGCATGCCACACAGGAGTTTAAATCCTTCATATGCTAGAGGTAATAAAATAGCTACCAGGTGACTGTATCTCTTTCTGAGGTAAATTTCAACCTCTTAAATTTGTTTGCTTTTAATTTCCTTTGCTTTCCTTTGATGTTGTTGAAGGTTGGAGGAGAAAGGACTAGAATAATACCATTTTCTAGGAAGGCACATACCAGCCAGTACACAAACTCTGATACAAAATGTTCAGAGTTTCCTCATTTCAGAGAGAGTTTTCTGAATACAATACACCTTAAATTATTTTTTTCCTGTACGATAGGTTAACTTTTTCAAGGAATTCTGCGCGTTTTCTCAGACGTTACAACCTCAGAACAGAGATGCGTTTTTCAAAACATTGGCAAAGTTGGGAATTCTTCCAGCCCTTGAAATTGTAATGGTAAGTGAAAACTTCAAGCTGATGGTGAATGGCTGTGGGTTTTTGGTTTTTTTCTTTTATTAACCAGTTTTCCTGATCTGCTAAGCACCTTTGTGTTCAGCTCTGCTGGAAGTTCAAGTTTGTTGTAATGTTCAGAGTCCAAAAGGTGTCCAGTTTTCAGAAGTAACCTAACTTTATTGCTGTTATTATTTCTACTTTGCGTGATGGAAGAGTTTGTGGTGAATGCAGTCGTTTTGACAATGTAGTGTAGAAACTGAAAGAGACTCTTTTTCATGTGGCAGCTTGGTATTTTTTTTCCCTGTTGTTGTTGGAACAGTGCCAAAGAAGTATTTTTAGGTGATTTTCAACTGTTAGCTTGTTGTTATCTGAAAGATCATGTAATTTTGTCTTTTCAGAGATACCAGGCAGATGAATTGATCTTAATCAGCAGTGTGAAAACAAAATTTTTTTCACTCCTTTGGTCTAAGCAGCTTTTGCTGGCTGACCATTACAATTCATGTGTCAGTACTGTTGTTATTCAGAAACTATAAATTCAAGGGGTTTTATATTCTAGAGTAACAACCTGTGAACTTACCAAAGGGCATTGACTGTTGGGAAAACATAAAAGTCATATAGATGTTGAGTGATTAGATGAACTCTAATCTTACTATTCTTTTCTGGGGCTAGACCAGTCCAAATGTTTCCTGTTACATTAATATTTTAGGCTTAGAAATCGTACAGTTATCAGAGAAAATCACATGCCTTAAGGAAAATTATTAATTCTTGTTGCCTGTAAGTGAGTACGGAAATTTTTGTACACATTTATTTGTATTACACTAATAAAATGTGGATAACAGGTACAGAATATTTGCATCTTAGATACTGTAGCAAGTAGCACTGTACATACGTTTCTTGCCTAAATTAGGGCTATCAGATTCACAAAAATACTTGCTTTCTTTCTAAAAGAGGGAAAGATTTTTTTTTCTGTAACTATGTTAACTGCATCTCTCAGAAACTTTTGTAATAAAATTTTCTTAGAACTTTTAACTCTGTATTCTTTGCAGCTTTACTTGATAATAAACACCAAACTTGATTTACTCCAATAAATGGATGTCTTTTTTTTTTTTAATTAGGGAATGGATGATCTGCAAGTTAGATCTGCTGCTACAGATATATTTTCTTATCTAGTAGAATTTAGTCCATCCATGGTCCGAGAATTTGTAATGCAAGAGGCCCAGCAGAGTGATGATGTAAGTAAAAGCATTTTGGAATTTGTTAAATATACTAGTTTCAGAGCAAACAGGAAAAAAAAAAAACAAAAAACAAAAACAAAAGAGCAAAACAAACCTCTCCAGCATTTGGAAAAGAGCCCAAAAATGTAGATGGTAGAAACACAGGAAAAAGTTGATTAAAGATGTAAAGGTTTCTGTGCGTGTTGGTGTTCCATGTGTTTACAGTAATAAAGTCACAGCTCTGCCTAACAGTGATTTTGGGTGAGGAGGGTAGTGCTTGACAGAACTCCAATGTCTAAATGCAACTCTTCCCATTTTTCAGTTTCACTTAGGTTTTACTGGGGAAATCATTCTGCTGTGGAAATTGTGTCTCATTATGTTGTGGTTTGCTTGGTTTGGTTTTTTGCAGGATATCCTCCTCATCAATGTGGTCATTGAGCAGATGATCTGCGATACTGATCCTGAACTTGGGGGAGCTGTTCAGTTAATGGGGCTCTTGCGTACTCTGATAGATCCAGAGAATATGTTGGCCACAGCTAATGTAAGAAAATACAAAGGGGTAAAGACACTTTACTGTCTCAGCAAAATAAAAAAGCCTGGTATTTATTGCTGTTACTGTGGTTGGATTATAAAAAAAAATACATTTTTATTCTTTTTTGACAATGTTGTGTATGATCTGATACTGAATTTAAACAAGATAAAAAATAAGCTAAAATTTCTATTAACTTTTGATAATAAAAGGTATGTGTATGTGGTATTGTGCAGGTGTTTATTAAACTAAATGGTCCTGTGCTTCAGTGAAGTAGCATATTTTTTGCATCCGTGGTGAGGGGTTTTTGGTGATAGCTAGGTTGGTTAGATCTGTCTCAAATCTTTTCCCAGATTAAAGAAATATATCTTATTTGAGTGAAGATGAAGTTAGAGGACCAACCAAAAAGATACAGGCAGACCTGAGGGAGTTGATAGAGTTATTTGTAGGCTGTCTTTTATGTTGCTACTCTTTCTTATTTAAAAGGAAGTATACAAATGTGAGTATTTAATAAAGTTATATTTGTTTTAGAAAACGGAAAAAAGTGAATTTCTCAATTTCTTCTACAACCATTGTATGCATGTTCTTACTGCACCGCTTCTGGCTAATACATCAGAAGATAAATGTGAAAAAGGTAATGTTAATTCCCCCCCCTGCTCCCTGTTTGAGTCTTGCAGTGCTGGTAACAGCAGTAAGCCTGTGGTGTGAGATGGGAATGCGCTTGCTGAGAACTGTTGTTCCCCCAGTGATAGGGGTTGTGTGGGCACAGGTTCAATAGTCCCTTATTGCAACGTGGAATGAGAACGTATCTTTATGCTGTGCTTTATAAACTCTGTATCTGCTTGTTGTCTGTTGTTAATTGTATGCTAGTTTTATTAGTGTAATTTTAAAAACTATTTGCTGTGAAGCAGAGAGTCTCTTTAGTTCACAGGTACTTTTTTCTAAAAGCTTAGAAAAATACTGTGACGTTCACCAGGGGTTACATGATTCCAGGCACCAGGTGTGTTCAGGTGATTAACTCTGAAGACTCATTTTTCACTTGGCTGTAGTATAGAAATGCTGAAAGAAATCTATTCAAAGAAATACAACTTGGAGCAATTTGTTTCTTTTTTAATTCTTCCTGGTAACAGTAAATGAATTGGAAATCTCTCTTTGGTGCACGTAAATAACACTCGCTAGTTTGTCTCTAGTGCTTTGCAAATTAGAAATTTAACATCATCACAGCCTCCTGAGTCAGACTTTTTCTGAGCACTCTTTCAAGAGATTAAATCAAACCAATACATATTTGGTAAAAACGTTTATTTCACCTTACCTGTCTTCTCATATTAAGTGTTAAGTCAAAAAAGAAATGTTTTATGCATTTTATATGAAAATAAAACTTGTAGAATATTTGTAGTACTCATTTTATAATATTATTTTTAAAATTTAGGGTAGACACTTTATTTTAGTGTAGGTAGGAATAATATTCCTATGTATTAGATTACGTGTTTTCACCCAGTTGCATTTGAAACTTTGCAATGTAAATTGAATACAGAAATCTCATCTGGCATGCATTCTTGCTGTATGGTTTTTTTTCCCCTGTAGCCTACAGAAACTTTTGATTTGATGAGAAGTTTGAACAGCTGATAGAAGTAATTGTTTATTCCCATCTTATAAATATTTACAGTGCTTTGAAAACCTTTTTCTGATTTTTGTTCTTATTTTCTATTTATCAGATGCAGTAGTTGGGTCCACTAAAAGTAATACAATTTGTCCTGGTAAGTTTTAATTGACCTTGAGTTTTGAAACTTGTATTAATAGAATAGAGTATTTCAGTTGGAAGGGACCTACAATGATCATCTAGTCCAACTGCCTGACCGCTTCAGAGCTGGCAAAAGTTAAAATGGTGTGTTTGTTTTTTTAATTTAAAAGAAAAAAAAAGTTAAAATCTTTTTTTTAAATACTTTTTATTGTAATAGATGTAGTTGCTTTGCTTCCTTTGAGATGACAGAAAGCTGAAGGAACATTTTAATCTGCTTTTGAGTTACTGAGTTTCACTTTTTTTTTTTCCCTCCCTAGTCTATCTTGCTACTGAAAGTTTAAATCAATGTTGTTAGAATCCTGTGGATTTACAGTTTGGATTTTTATCTGTGCAGGGGTTGGGGTCTTTTGGGGTTTTTTTTTGTTTTTGAGCATTATGAAAAGACATTGCTAATTAAGTTCACTTGAATACACGTCTGACTGGCTTTCTTCTTTTTAATCTGGATTTCTGTAACTAGTAACTCGCTGATCCTGCAAGAAATCCTGCTGCCAATTTAGGGTGATTTTTGTGACTGAGGGGGAAGAAAAAAGCCAAATCTGTGTGTTTTTGGTTCTGACCTACTGCCTAAACCAATCCACCAAATTTAGTGCATGTCAGGAGCTGTAATGGCAGCTGAGCTTCATAATGATTTGGTGCATGACTACTTTTTTTTTCAGTATAACTTAAGGCATTAATTTTTCTTGTAGATAATTATCAAACGGCACAACTACTTGCCTTAATTTTGGAGCTGCTTACTTTTTGTGTGGAACACCACACGTATCACATCAAGAATTACATTATGAACAAAGACTTGCTAAGAAGAGTACTGGTCTTGATGAATTCTAAACATACATTTCTGGCCTTGTGTGAGTATGGAGCTGTTGTGTTTTCCTTCTTCAAGGCTTTGTATGTACTGTGTGGAGTGTAGTAAATGGAGTAAAAGTGTATACTTAAATTCAGAATTCATGTTGGTTCCTTATTTACTACTGACTAGCTGTTAAGTAATTTTTTAAAATGGTAGCAGATGTTTGTTCATGTAGGCTAATGCGGTTGATGGTGAGAGGAGGATTGTTGTATCTCCTGAAGTCCCCAGTGATCCTTTCAAGTCTTTATGACAGTAAGGATCACTTGTGGTCAGATGTCTTATTTAAAAGGAAGTACTGTCATTTTTTAATAACATCATAAATCCTCGTTGTGGAGAGTAAGTGAAATTTTGTGAACTATTTTATTTAAAGAATAGGGCCTGGTTCTGGGAGCTGCACACAGAAAAGCACAGGAATGAGCTAAT